TGGAGGAACTACAGCCACAGGGAATATTATATAGGCAAGGCCCTATTATATCAGTTTGGCCTGGTAAATTAATAAGTGTCTATTCTGTGTCCTCTGTGTACCAGATACTTGGAATGGAGCAGAGAATAAAAGGGAAATACTACCCATCTTCGTGAAGCTTACAGTATAATGGGGAGTCATAATAATAACTAATTAAATAATTATAAGTGAGTAAAGTGTCATGAGGGAGAAGTTTATAGAGTTCCATAACAGTTAATATAAGGAGGGCTCCACTTTATTTTAGAGGTGAGAGAAGACTCCCCAGGGAAAACGAATTTAAGACATGAAAAATGAGCAGGTGTTTGGCTGGTGAAAGGACTTAGCTTGTAGGGATGGGATGGGTCATCAAAGGGTCATGCACACTGAGTTTTAGGAAAGCTACAAGGTCAATCTTGGGAGAAGTTGGTAATTAGCTGTAGATGACCATAACTTGAAAATTGGGTGCCAATAGACCGTCCATGATTTACTTTTCTAGATTGGTCTTCACTAAGGCTGCTTCTGTGATTATTATTGATCAACCCTGATGGGTGTTTAGCTTTTCATGTCTTTAGCTAATGGCTGCCCACTGGAGTCACCGGGGACAGAAGGAGCTTTCATAACTGTCTGCTGTTTTAAAGGATCCCAGACCAACTAGATTAGAATTACTGGACATGGAGCCTGGTCATTATAACTTTTAGAAAGCCTCCAGGTGATTCTAATGTGTAGTCGGCATTGAGACCCACTGTTACGGGACTCCGGGAGACATGGATGCACTTAGATTTGGTCTCAGGTTATCAAATCCCAGGCCTCAGAGTGAGGATGCAGTATTAGGGCAGGAGCATCTGCTTCGCTCAATTCCACCCTCTTCCCTCAAATACCGCCAGGCATTCCTGCTTCTCCCAGCTCTGAGACATTTAATTCTTGCATACATTTTGTGTGTGTGTGTGTGTGTGTGTGTGTGTGTGTATGTGAGGAAGATCAGCCCTGAGCTAACATCCATGCCAATCCTCCTCTTTTTGCTGAGGAAGACCGGCCCTGAGCTAACATCTTAATTCTTGCATATGTTTGAGTTTCAACAGGCTCTCGTGCTTTCTTTTTCTGAAATCTGCACTAATCTCAGTAATGTTGGCCTTCTATCCTTGCATAGTTCAGATATGAGAACTCCAGCCACCAGCCACCCTTGCCCTCCCTGCAGAGGCTTTAGTCACTGTTCTCCAGCAGAGAACCGGGCGGCAGGTGGTGCGTCCTCAGCTGCTGTCACACTGCTCTCTCTACCACTCCCAAAGTCGGAAGAGTATTGTTAAACGCAGTCATCTACAATCTTTCGTGCTTGCTCTCTTAGGCCTTGCAAACTTTGCCCTGGTCTTTCAACTTTATCATGCCCTTTATGTAAGTACCAGGAACAAAGTGCCCCAGGTACCAGGCTGAAAAGATTAAAGTGAAGGTGTCCACAGTCATGTTCAAAAGAAGCATTTCCCGGCTGAGTCCAGTGTTCACCTCTGTATGCCAAAGGGTGAATTCCCTTTGTCTCCAAGTCTTCTGAGAATTGAGGTGGTATTTGTCTATGCTATTTGTTCACTGGATAGGACCACTGAAGGGGAGATGTGGGGACCCTAATGCAAAGCAGATTCCTAGTAGGCTGCCTGGGTAGCTTGTAGCTCCTGAGATGGGTACACAGAGGAGTCCTCTCCCTATAAAATGAAGGTGGCAATGGGCCAGCTAATTTGACTAGATACTCACGTCAGCTATTCTCAATATGTTCAACCCTTGCCTGGCCTAAACACACCAGCTATGCTTTTCTCCCAGACTTTTAATACTCCAAATAGACCTCTCAGTTCTTTAGATTACCTGACTTTGAAGAACGAGAGTTCCTGGGAGGTCTGATTGCACATTTCACATTGGTCTCGGGCTGTCTCACATCAAGGAGGGTGCGTCTCTACACAATACACTTGGTATTTAGGTCAGTGGCAAAACATACAGAGGGTCATTAATTATTTAAAGATGATATTAAAGTCAGGGATGGGCCCAACCCTTTGAGTGTTTAGAAAGACTTTAAAGGAAGGGATAAGCCCAGTTCTGACATGTGCCAGGGCCAAGCCAGGCTGAGAGAGTCATGAGTCAGCCCAAACATATTCTCAGACCACTGACGTCTACTCAGCACCTTTTCACCCAAAGCACCTCAAGCATGATCCCTGTCTTCAAACCACTCATCTTCACACGCCACTGTATGATGCGGGCCCCTGGTTCTTTTATTGCTGGGAGAGGCTGGGGTGGAGGCAAAGCCACGCTGGTGGGCAGTCATGAAGCTGGGGCAGTAGTCATCACCCAGGGAACACCTGGGAGAGGGCAGACAGGGCGCGGGGTGTGCTCAGACTCTGGGCGCAGACTCCCCGTGACCTAAACAGTCACGCTCCTCTGTAGAGAGACTAGGCGTCAGACAGTAAGTCGATTCTGAATTCTTCTCAAAGATGAATGGCTTTATTGAGGGTATGACTTATTTTTAGCCTTCTTTTTGCATCATGGCTATATTCTGGTGCTATTTTGTTCACTTTGCTTAAACTCAACAGAGTTGCTTTCATACACACTTTCTCCACTTTGACAAAATGATCCCTGTCACCTCCATGGGAGGACTTCAGCGGCAGCCTGAATTCCAGGCCCAAATATAGCTTTTGAGGCCAGTTTCTGACACTGGACATACCATAAACCCTGAGAAAATCATTTCTGAATAACTGATAATCTCTAATTTAGACAAATCTTTCTGCTTTTTTAGGCCATGACTCTGAAAATGATTATTTCCACTGAATATTTTTCTTCTCAAGTTAGAATGAACAACTTTGTTTCCATCAGCCTAGCTTGCTTCTTGGCTAAAGTTTGTCCTCTCCAAATTTATCCTCTGCCCTTCCCTCTGCTGATGGTCTGGTGGTACTGCCAATCCGACAGTGAGTGTGAAGGAAGAGGAAACCTCTGAACTGTTGTCCACAACCTGTGACTTAATTACATTGAGCAACAAAGCAAGGACATTTTGATGAGTTTTATCTTTTCTTTAACACAAGCAATGTGGCTTTCTCAGAGACAAACGGTCTGGGTTGTCTGTGGTTCTCTTTCCTCCTATATAAAATAAAAAGAGTAGACTAGAAATTTTCCAAGGTCCCATTCACCTCTAACTTTGTGACCTGAGAAATGGCTTTTTAGTAAAAGTGCCAAGAAGGGTGAAGCCATCATGCATGTCATTCTGGTGATAATTGTGTGTGAAACAGAGTCCTGGATCAGGAATCAAAGTCCTTGTAGTATAAACTACCAGTGGGACCTCCCTTAACCATTTCAAAGCTTTAGTTGTGAAAGCTGTAAATGGCAACATGTTGATCAACTGAAGCCACGCAAATAAAAGTGCTCTGAAAATAAAATCATACACAAGAATCAGAAGTTACTATTAGGAGAGTAGCAAAGAGCCTCCCTCAGAAAGCAGTTCTCAGCCTCTGGATTTTAGGTTTCCAGTGAGCTTAAAATACAGCTACATAGAGATTTTCCCCCATCCAATTACAGCAAATACCATGGAGTTAAAATCTGCCAAAGGTAATAGCAAGACAATAGTAATTTGCTAATGGGAAAAGCCGTAATTTTAAAACTAGCTAAAGAGAGTAACTGCTGAAAATGAAGTCTTGATTTGAAAGACATTTTGGAAATCTGCATTTGTTTTGTAACACCAAAAGATATTAATACTTATTATATTAAAAAAAATCAGAGACCTGTTTTCCAGTAGATTCCAGTGGAGACACTCCAGGCTGAAGCCATGATGCTTCATAGTCGTGCCTTAGTCCTGCTCCCAAGTTGCTACGCAAGCTTAGAAACATGGCTGACTCTCTAATGTCAAGTTTTCCCAATTACAATGTGGATTAGTAACAGATGCTCAAGGAGTTTTCACATATTTCACTCCTAGTGGGTAAATTAAAAGTAGTTTATTAAAAACATTTGTGAAAGCGCTTTAAGCATTTTAGATAAAAGTTACCATGATGTATCCAAGGTACTACATCTGGCTTTACATACCTGGTATGTCCTAAATGTTGTTTATAAATAAAATCCTATAAGTGTCTTAGAAAAGAGATATAAAATGCCTTTATAAAGTGAAAGATCCTTTTAAACCCCCAAATTGGGTTACTGTGTAAGTCTATGTTTTCAAGATCAGATTTTCTAAAAGTACATTCTACCCACAGTACTGTCTACATTAAACGTGAACCACACAGAGCTATTCACTGAGGTTAGATCTTCATTATGTTTGACACGTTAAGGAGCACTAAGTATGTCACTGATCCAGATCCTAAAGAAAACCTCTCATTTCAAAATATAGGAAATTTCAAAATATAGGGCATTAAATAACCAGGAATCACAAACAAGCTGGAGTTTTTCAAGGTCACTTTCAATGTCTATCATTTTACTAAGAAAAACACAATACATTTCATCTATGCAATGAAATGATGATTCATTGCATAGATGAAAATGACATTTATACTATTCAAATATTTGTTTCCTGTTGCAGGAGAAACCATCAAGGGAAAATGCTTCCTAATGTATCATCACTAACATAACTCACCCCAAGAATAGAATAAGATGTAAAAATAAAGAGCTAATGGGGTGGTATTTGGATATACAGATATATACACACACATCTTTTTATATTTCCTGATTTAACAAAGAAAATGTTCTAGCAAAACTGCATACCTGATTGAAATGTCTAGTAAACTTTCCTTCTTTGATTTTCTGCAGCACTTACTGTCTCCATGAATCATTTGGCATGGGTGAACTGTCCCGTATCTTTTCATGCATATATTTCTTGTCTGTACAACTAGAAAGTGAACTTGTGGAAGGAAGTTTCCTGAGATGCTAAGCCTAGTGCTTTGGACATAACTGGATGCCTTAATCATTGACTGACATGTGCATTTGCAGGGAGGAGGCTGGTGAGATACACTTAAAATCTTTATTCACTGATTTACAAAATGTACAATATTTACAAAATTTAGGCATTAATCCCATATTGACATGGATGCTGTGAGGAGTCTAAAAATAAATAAGTGGCACATAGGTTAATATACACATCACGGCTCTTTGCACTTCAAGCCACGTCACCAATGGTGGGATGTAATGGAAAGTTTAATGTGGTAGAAAAGTCAGATAGAGACCAGCACTGGGCCTTCCACCTGAATGGCCCTTCCTTGGCTCCTTGAGGCTGCGGATGCTGAACAAACCACTTTCTTTCAAGACAATGAAACACTAGTCATTCTGACAGGCACACGGGGTGCACATACCACATCTGCGTGGAGTGTGCAGTGACCCCTTGGGTGGCAGATGAGTCCACACCATTGCAGACCTGGTCCCTGCACACCAGCCAGGGAGGCTTTAGAGTAGTTATTTTTTCATTAAGAACCATCATTTGGACTTTGTCTCTTACGCAAATCGCATGCAGGACTTGGAAGGTGTCAGTGGAGAGTGACCATGCACAAAAACGGTACTTGTAGATATGTACAACACCAAATTTTCATTGTCCTATAGCATCTTTTGATGTAGGATTAACCTGTCTCCTCTTTTAGCAAGAGGAATGAATGAGGAAGCCATACCTCCACCCCACAAAGAAAAAACACCATCTGGGGACACATGAAAACGGCATCCTGCAGAGGCAGGACTAGACAAACTCCACATGATAAGATGGACAAATTCCCATGGTCAGGCTTGGAAGTTTTCCTAGAGGTGGTAATTCTACCTTCCCTTCCTCTTCACCTCATCCTATATAACCTAAATCGGAAGGAAAAGGCTTCACTTTACCGAGCTTCTTAGAGCCTCAGTACCTTCATCTGTATACTAGTGATATTCTTTACAGGGTGCCTGCAGGGATTATATGACCTAACTTACGTAAAGTGCTTAGCCGAGTGCCTGGCACATAGGAGGTGCTTAATAAATGTCTTGCTTTCTCTCTCACTACTTCCCCCACTCCAATTATAAGCAACATATTGATAAGCCTACCAAACTCTGATTTAAGGCCATTTGATGCAATTTGGATTATTTTGTAGCAGAGTTACCACTGTCAGTTCATATTTGATCCCTGAAGGGGTCTCATTTTATGAGCCAGAGACATTTTCCTGTGCAGGGCAGATGGACCCTGACAACATTCTCCTCTTTATCAGCAATGGCTCCATCACATTTCATGCAAATATGCCCCATAACCTCGCAGAGAAACTCACAGCAGTGATGGTCACCCCCCGAAATCTGCTGGGACAACACCACTGAGGCAACCATAAGCAAAAACCTTGAGGCCAACACATTACTCTTGCTCACAACATAAGTTAACTTTTTCCAACACTGGTGCAAGTATTACAGATAACTTTCAACAAACATATATTACAAGCTCTACCACTGTTGAAAAATAAGTATTCTAATTTGATCATTTTGTTCAGAATAAAGAATTTTTTACAATATATTTTAGTTACGCCATACAAAAATAAATATTGTATAAATGGTTTACAAGGAGGAAGAAAAAATTGTAACTTGGGGTGCCCAAAATATAGGAAGAATGGTGAAAATTCTACTATCTACTTCAAAAGCAATCACCTAAAAGAATAAAAACTTCCCACTAGGTCTCCTTACTAGTCTCACCATCACTCCACTGGTCCACTTACTTCTCATCCTAGGATATTATGTCTTCTTTCCCTATCAATCTTGAGACAACCTAACGCAGAATCTTCCCCCTAAAGTCACTGGGGATTTGAAAGAGGAGGAACAGGTGGGCTCTTGGCAGTATGAATTGCAGATGGAAGACCTGGCTAAGCTACTTACTGCGCCCTCACAATGAACTAGGATCAACCTGCACACATCTCTTTCCTTTCATTCTGAAACCCAATTGGTCGAGATTAGTTATGCCTGAAAAGAACCCCACAACTGAAGAAAATAACCCCAGTCTGCTTTGGGACTCTTTGGACACACACCGGTCCAGGTAAAATCCAGGATCTCACGGAGCACAGTTAGGTGCCAAATCAAGGCCAATCTCACCAACTATATGAAGAGATAAGCAGCTAGTTTATGGATGCTAGCTCCATTAAGTTGGGAAAAATCCTTCTCCGGCCACCCCTCCCCCCCATACAACAAACTTTTATGATTGCCTTTTTATGTCCCACACAGAGCAGAGGGAATATGATACCCACTACCGCGAGAAGAATGTTGGGAAAATTCAATTGGACAATTGTTTACTACTTTTTCAGGGACTCAGAATATCTCAGGAAATAGTCCATTCATTTTGGAAGCAAAATCTAAAATTCTAAAGCTATTAAGGAATTCATGATTATATTTAAACCAGTGGTCCGTTACCTTTCTCTTGAAAAACACAAATCTACGCATATCTATGTAACATATTGCCTAACATCTCAGAGGGTCCCAGGACCTCCTGTGGCTCATGCATGTATTCCAAATTAAGAGCCCCAGAGCTCAATAAATGCAGAACTATTTCCCAGAGTGAAAACAAAGGTTTGTGGTATACAACTCAGAGTCTGTTTTAGGGGGAGGTTGGCTGCAATGAGGTCTTGGACTTGAAATGACTACACTGAAGCAATGCTTGTTCCTCATGATAAGTGGAAATGCTTGGCTGTGAAGACATCTGTGAGTGGTGTGATTTCACATGTGTAACTATTGGCAGGCCAATGACTCATGCATGACTATGGACCATCGAGATCCCCAGGGATCACTACTACACATGACGCCTTTGAGCTGCTATAATGTGAGTCCCAACCACACCCACAAGCAGGACACTATCACTGACATGCAGTGTGGGTGCCCATTTGTCTGATTTATGGGTGACGTTGTGGCAAATGTGGCTTCAGTTTCATTTCGGGGGAGCGGCAAGTTACAGATATTTCCTTCACAACAGGAAGTGCAGACCTGAAAGAAAGGAAGAAAAAAAAGGTGATGAGCAGCTGGCAAGTCTTGGAAGGAGGCAGGAATTTCTGAAGGAACTGTCTCCCTCACAGCAAGACTCAAATGAGAAGTACCTGTTCTACAAAAGCGACACCAACCCTGCATTTAAGGAGGTGAGATGGAATTTCATCTGGAAGCAATGTGGTCAAAATGAGACCCCCCTGGACTAAGCTTCAAGGGACACGGGTTCTGCTTTTGACATCCCACCATGTGGTTAATACAGTTTTCCAACCTTTCTAGGTCTCAGCTATTCCATCTGTGAAATGAGGATTATAATACCTTACCTTTCTTCAAAGAGGCTCTTTCCAACTACTCGAGGAAGCTGTTAAGAGGATAAACTTTCACTTGCCAAGTTTTCATACAGAAAGCGAAATGGCAACAACCCAGCTAATTTAAACTTAAATATTTACTGTCATTAGAACTATCTGCAAAATTATCTCCGTTCTTGTGGACGAGTTAAAGTTTGAAGGGTTTTCATTCTAGAGCAATTACTCTTACTCTATACTGTTTTATTCATGGATCACAAGAAAGACAGAAACACAAAGGATTATTGACAGATATTATTTTAGGCGGTGGCTACATGAAGTACAGATCGGCAGCTTCTGCATCAACTGGGAGCTCATTAGAAATGCAGAACCTCAAACCTCACCCCAAACTTAGGAATTAGAATCTGCATTTTAACAAGATCCCCCCTTTCTCTGCTTCTTTATATTCTTCTTCAAGGCTGCCCTCGAAGTTCCGTTTACACTGAGTGCTTCTATACAGGCACCAGATGGAGTTTAAGGGAAGCAAACCCACAAGGAGATGGTACTCTCCTCACCTACTCAAATGACTCAGGAGCCAAGAGACACCTTCCCCAAGTCAGCATCCCAATAAAGACACGAGCTTCACTTTACCGACAGTTATCAAAGCTAAATTGCCACGGCCATCCCCCGCTGAATGAATTGTTGGTACATCTGCAATGCTTTACCATGAGAACATAACTGGTCCCTTGCTCCTCTTCCTTCTGGTAGATCTATTACTTTCTTCTGAGTGAGGAAAGGGCTTATTATAATTTTCAATACCTTCTTGGTGTTGTGTTTACATAATTTATAATAGTTGTCCTATGCCCTGCTATAAATTTTTATTCTTTTAGAGTAAACAGGAAAGGAAGCATCTTCTCATAATGGTATAAAGACAGTCAAAAGCCAGCCTACATGGGGGAGTAAGAATTTGCTCATGAGCACTGGCAGGCGTCAGAAGCGGAGGAAGGCTGACTATGTTGTACTGGTCACTTGCTTTGTTGCCCAGACCTTGTGGCCTTCATGCTCGGAGTCTCTGCAGCCAGTGGACAAGCAATCTTCCAGTGGAACGCAGCGTTTGGTGACAGAGATGCTGTTTCCTGTGACTTCCATTGTGTGCTGAGTGTAGCAGTATCTGGTCTCTGTCAACAGATAAAATGTTTTAATTGAGATGGGAAATGTTAGCCCAATCTGCCTGAAGGGGAAACAACAGGAGTGTCAACATCACAGTGCTGAAAAGATCAAACAGCACACGGGATGTACACTGTGTTGAGTTCATGTTCAATCCCAAAGATATCCTTGGAGAGATCCACTTCACCATGGCAGGAGGAGGGCCTCTGTAGAACATTGGTCTCTCTCCCTGTCCTAATCCCCATAAACCAAGATACAGTGGTATCACTCTTTTTGCCTTTCAACATATTTTGCCACTGTATTGATTTTTATGTTTAGGGGAGGAGAGGTTTGGAGGGATAACTTAGTATGTGAGAGTCCTAGCAATTTTCAGGTGAGGAGGTGACAAAGTTGGAAGAACACAGGGTTAAAAGAAAAGAAGTTAGCGTGGGAGATCAAGATTTGGCCACCCTGAAATATATCTCTTTACCTTGATTGTTTTCTCTGAGGGACATTTGACCTCCCCCACTAACTGCCTAAAGAATTTGACATGGTGGCTCCTTCCTGGAACAGATCTTCTATCATTATGGCTGTAATGATAATGTAAAATAAATGTTACAATGGGAGGGGCACCAAGCCCCTTTTATCAAAAAACTCTATCTCTCCCTGACCACATTATCTATAGGTGACCCTGAAAAGAATTGTCTTCTTGCCCTCTGAAGTCCCAGACCACTACCCACCCCCAAAAGCTTTCTCGCCTTTAGCTACAATATTTAAGGAAGCAGCTTAGACAGAGGGACGAGTTGCTCATTTCTGAGTTTCTCCCATGTATACATATTATTAAACTTGGTATTATTTTCTCCTGCTAACCTGTCTTGTTGATTATTTGGCCAGCCATAAGAACCTTAAGGGAAAGGGCAGAGGGGGATTCTCCCTCTCTCCTCACATTAGGCAGGTAACAATGACCTTCAAGGAGATAAAAGACTATAGCAGAGGCTAGTGTGTGTGTGTGTGTGTGTGTGTGTGTGTGTGTTGGAAACAGCTATTCCCAAGTAAGGGCAGAACAATTAAAAATCGATTCATTTTATCTGGAGAAAATGACTTTATCCAAAAGAAAGAACTTCTTGTCAATGAGCACAGCTGGTTCCTAGAATTCATTACAGAAGAAAAATAACCCAATAATGAATGTGTTCCAAAATTGAGGAGCATCATCTCTCCCGAGCATGATTTCAGTGTCTTTCTAGGATGGCAGATGAAGATCAGGATGTGAGTTTCTAGGGTCCATATAAGTCTTAGGAATCTGAAAGGGTGAGTTTTCTTTCAAAATTCCACAGAGAATTTTTTTATTTGTAACTTAAAGACTAAAGAAAAATGGCTTTGTCAATGTAATTCTTTAAGGCCTCAAGGTGGTGTTCAGCTTTCTAAGCTTGGGATTTAGGAGAATGTTCCTGTTCCACTTTCAGATTGAAAAAGAAAATGAATAATTCTTAAGAAATGTCACTGAGCTGTTTTTCATCCATATCTTGGACTCAATTTTGTATGCTTTACAGATTCTGGATATTTAGCGGCTAATATGGAATTATGACCTTCTATGATATTATTTATTAGGCAATAAAAACTCCCCCCACCAGATTCTGTCATAATTTTGGCAGCTTTTAACCAAAGTACTAACGTCCAAAGAAAAAGGCTTAAGAATTTTAGGCTCCGAGACTGGGCTAATACAGACCACATCGACATATCTAGGGAGTCATGAAAATTCAGGAGTTTTAATAATCTTCCTAGACACCCCCCCACCTGACAGGAACCCGAGTGGCCTCTGACTGAGTCTTGCTAAAGGCAGCGACTTTTCCGTGGTTGCACTACTGGTGGGTGTACCTGGGCTGAGTCTGTGTCAATGCCCTCTCCCAAATGCTGTCTCTACACTACACTCCGACCAGAATTTTGTCAGTTGGGGTCAGAACAAGGCAGTCCTTAGCTCACTCAGGATCCTAGAGAGCTCTTTGGGAGTGGGGTGAGTAAGGTCACCCTATGCGCTCACAAGAAAAGTTGAAAGTTTTGCACCTGGCAACGATTCTCCAAAAGCTCTAAAATACTTTAAAATTGGAGTGATTGTTTTTCTGATGAAGAGGAGGTGGCAGCTCTCCTCTGATTTTTTTACTTTTTTAAGCCTTTGGCAGGTTTTAACAAATGGAGGTTAGTGCCTAGAGATATTTACCACATCTCTGTAGAGGAATGGTTTACTTTTTTAGTATCAGACTCAGACGTTTATGGCCATGATAGGTACACCATTTCCACCCCCCTCCCAACTTCAGATGCTCAAGAAAGCAATAAAAACAGGAATGTCCTTATCTCCTGTCTCCTCTTGATGCAGACGACCAGGAGCAGCTGCCTGAGGCTTTATTGCTCCAAATGTAAATCTAAGCAGATAAGATCATACGTTTATGGAATAAGTAAACCATTACATGGTTTCAGTTTTGGAAATTAGGTTTGTCCCCCAAGTATTGAATTCTCTTGTTTTAAGTAAGCCTTAAAATAACAATTGCTGAACTTGATACAACTACTTTGTGTTTGTAGTTTTATGTCCATAACAAACTCTTTTAATTTATTAATTGGAAGCTTATTCCATTGAATGAAAGTAGAGACAACTATGAACCTTGTTTTTAGGAAAATAGGCATAAGCCCAGTACCTAATAAGTCAATTCTTGCCACTCTAGGGGGAGAAGGGCGATCACTGATGAGGCTGGATAAGAATTTTTTCTTACACTTCACAAAGTCCAATCCATAAACAAAGATATATTGAGAATACCCCATTACTTCCAGCAGTAGAGACCTCAGATCTGAAGCATCAATCCCTTAAAAGGATCCATTCCACTTCTCATCTTACAAAGCTCCTAGGTGAGTTATGAAATGTTAATGTGGAAAAAGGTTCTGTGGTTAAATAAGTTTTGAAAATGCTCAAAGTTGAACAGGTTTCTTTAGTGCACAACTCATGAGAGCCTTGAATTTGTATTGTGATCGCCAAGGGGGTGGGGGCAAGCAGGCAGAACGAGGTGGACCACAGGTGGCTTATCACTGGACTGTAGAATTGATAAACCTGAGTTTCAGCCACAGAACCTTGCTCTCCATGCATTTTGAATAATCCTTGGGTTAATGAGGTTATATGAGAATCAAGCCTGCTGATAACTTCACACTAAAAGGATTTCAAAGGCTTTTATCGAAAAGATAAAAGATGGATTTGAATTTCTACCAGGTTAGTTTCGGCCTCTAAAATCTCATATTCTGCAACTGCATGGTATTCCCAGAGGTTGTGAAACAAAAGTCTTTTACTATGAGATTCACAGGCATTCAACTAAAATCAGAACTAAGAGAGTTTAATTGACTATTGGAAAATACAAAATATAATTTTCATGAAATTCACACACACACACACACACACACACACACACAGAAATATCATAACCTAGTTCTGAAATCAAAAAAAGGTTCAAAGCTGTAAATTTCCATTTACCCACCAATATTTATTTTCCAATAACAGAAACTATATTTAAACAAAATATACATAAAATGATTTGAATTAAAAATGACCAACTCTCTGAAAAAGGCTTTCTCGACACTCAGTTATTCTCTGTGGTCCCACTAGTTTTGGTTTCTTTACAAACACTTATAATGATTAAAATGATGCTAAAGAACAATTTACCAGGTGCAAGAAAAGTAATGGAAGGAAAATAACTTTAATCATAAGATTACAGATTATATTGAAAAATAAAAGACTAGTGGCAACTGCCAGCACACTGTCTGTCTGATTCCTTACTGTGCGCTCAGCCCTTCACATCCTGCCATGCTCCTTCCAGGTCATCCTCTGCAATGACTGTTTGCCTAAGTGTCCATTCGATGCCCTTCTGATGTCTGATCCTGCAAGATTCCTTTGCAGCTCTGGGCTCTACTACATATAACCTTCTCTGTGGGATTCTCCACCCTGGACTTCAGAATTTCGTCTTCTGTATCTCTGGTCTCTTCTCTTCAACACTTTCCCTAACCTGAATGTCGATATTCTCCCATGTTCTGTTCTTGAATCTCTTCTCACTCAAGTGACCTCATCCAACCTCCAATGAAATATCTTCAGTCTGATTCTCTCTGCTGAACTACAGAACCCAATTTCCAACGGTCTCCTGGACATTGCCAGCAGCACCCTGAGGATACCTCATGTGTCTCAAACCAATCACATTACCTCCCTCTCCCTCCCATCTGTTTATCTTCCTGTGTTTCTATCTCAGGAAGGGATATCTGAGATGTGGCACCTCCGTCTTCAACTAGAAACTTCAGAATCAGCTGAGACTTCTCTTCCCAAGCTGAGTGTCTCCAAGTCCTCTGAAATGTCTCCATTATCCATCTAATCTTTTCTCTTCCATTTTCCATTTCCTCACTGCAGGACCTCATCATTTCCTGTCTTCTTTGTCTCTGACCTCTCTGCTTTCTAATGCAGGTGCCCACAACCACCAGATAGATGACTGAAACCAAAGTCAGATGATGCCACTCACTCACTGTCTATGAAAGCATGAATAACACCGAACTGCATACTGCTAGGTTTATTTGGCCTACCAGAGTGGCCAATAGGTGATCCGTTGTTTTCTCTCTGCCCCTGAAGCTGTTTGTCAAGAGAATGGGAGTAACAGTGCTTCCCTGCTGGAAGCATCAATAACATTTATAACTCAAAGCTTGGCATTTGAAACTCAGCACTTATTATTACTCAAGGTTCTCCTTGATCTAGGTCCCAGACTACCTCATCATTGCCTACTAGACACCTTGAGACACCATGTCACAACTTCTGACCATTCTTTACAACAAAAAATATTTTCCTATCTTCTGCTCCTAGAAACTTGATATTCTTCAAGGCTCAATCCAAATGTGATAAATTTTGTGAAACCTTCGATTTTCCTCCCAACAAGGTTCACGGCCCTTCTTAGCTTCCTAATTTGTATTTCCTTCTAGATCAGGGTTGCTCAACCTTGGCACAATTGGCATATATCTTTTA